ACGAATTCGCGAGACTTAACAAAGAAAAGGTGCTCACGGGTAAAGTTCGAAGGTTACTTTATTAAGTCTCTCAAATGCGAAGGCCGGTACACGTAATTCACACTCTTTAAGATAAAACAAAAATGTGAAAACAGGGCGTCTAATTAAACATATGTATCCACAAAAATAACGTGTAGAGTAATGAGAAATAATGTCGAATTAAAAATACAATCCATTAGATCGTTAGAAAATGGTATATGAATTTATCGATATAAAAACAATGTTGAGTAAGAGAATGACAAATGGGAAAATGTCATGGAAAACGTTTCATCCTTTTAAAGGACTTCATCAGAATAAAATAATACCCACTATTTACATTGTTCGGCCTATCATCCTCAACTTTTTTGTCATGTTTATCACAAAGTTTCGGCCGTTGTACGCTCCAGCCTTCTTCAGGTGGTTGGAATGTCGAACTGGACCATCGCTGGGGTAGACTTTTCTAGTTCCACGTGCCATGTCTAATGGATGTCAGTTATTTCCTGTTAATTCCTCACTCCAAGTTCTCTACCGCCTTAACCAGGTACTGAACTCACACTCTGTTCTGTCACTAGATCTAACTAACGCCTTTATCCACAGTGTCAAGTGTTATTAACAGTCCGAACAATGTAAATAGCGTACATAATACCTCATCTCATAAATATAGACAGATAGCAAAATAATACCTATATTCATATAAATAGTATTTATATTCCTTATATAAATGTAGGAGAAAATAAAAACGAAACTGTCGGTTAGTATTATTGTATATAGTCGAGTATAGCGCGAGATTTTATGATCAATCACTTTACATCAAACGTAGGCGTATACACAAGTAATATATATATATATATATATATATATATATATATATATATATATATATATATATATATATATAGGCACGGTGGAGTAATGGATATCGGCTTGGATTGAGAAATCGGAGTCGAATTCATTACATTCACTTACGTGCTAATACTCTTGGGAAAGGTGTGAATCCTCTTTTTCTCCCTCCAGCTATGGGTAAATAGCAGGACAGACTGGGGTCTATAGCCATGGATGGCAACTGGTCTAGGAGAAGGACAACTCTGAATTCAAAACCTGCGGAGGGTCGCTTGGGGAACTTGTGGCACATAGTGTACTAGGTCTCTGTATTCGGCTCTTCAAAAAGTGTGGCTATTTCTGCACTAAGGGTTCACCACTATAATCAATTCTCAAGTGCTGTTGTCGGGCTGTCTGTTTCCTGGGAACTGATCTGCTTGACCCTCGTACGTCGGATTCGACGGAAGAGTCGAGCGATACACACACAGACACACACACACACATATATATATATATATATATATATATATATATATATATATGGTTAAAGATTATGTTTTTCGTGTGGGTGTTCGTTGTGGATATGAATGTGCAGTTTCTTTAGCCTTGGTTGGCAACTAGTCTACCTCAGAAAGAAATGGCAACAGACTGCGAAAAAAAAATCTTCTGGTTATTCTTGTATCGCAAGACGCATGATCGGCCAAGCGTGTTTTATGTATGGCACTTAACTGAATGAATTTCAGTGCCCGGTGGCACTATACACAGGTAATTTTTTTTTTTCTGGATGGATTAAAATTAATTTTAAACAATATAGGGGTCACATTATATATGAAGTCTAATTATGCGCGAGTGTTTGTTGTATATGCATCAAGAGGAAAGATGCAGTTGTAGGAACAGTAGATTTTAAATTTAAAGATTTTTCTAGCGACCGACGAAAAAAAAAGAAGTTCAATTGATTCCATTTATTTTCCCAGTGCTTTTATTCTTATCGCTGTAAGCCTTGATTTTTTTAAATTGACAATATCGTTTACAGTCGCTCTGTCACAGACGTGTCATCTCCTCGCTCTGTCTTTCCTACAAATAATTTCACGGTAACTGCTCCGACGAGCTATTTTAGCTGGTTTCCCAAACTGCATGAATTTAAACGTGCTACTAGGTCGGCATCTCACCCTCACCCTTTCACTGTCGAAACGGTTAAATGTAGCCGTCTTCAATAGCTTCATGTCTCGCACTTCCTGTTTGTAGAACTCCGTTGCTCTTACTTGCTTCCCTGATAGCTATAATCTCCATTTATTCAAATGAAATGTCAATCGACATCTCCAGATGCCTTGATCTATTCCCCGTCTCTCTCTTCATCCTTTCCTCTTTCACGCTTCTTTACTCTTGCTCCCAATTTCTGTAAACCCTTGCATGCTAGTGGCACTCCCGCCTTTCTTGGAGTGAATAGTTTTAAAAAAAAATCATAGCGGATAAATACGTCATTACTTTCCGTACAGGTAGAAGATATTATAAACTAATTCCAGACGGTATCAAATGTCATTCAACTCTGTTTCTGCCTGCCTTGGTTGTTGACTCATAATTTCTGGCGGTGAAGTAAGTATTACTTTTCAAACATCCTTATAGTGACGTCGAGTTTAGAAGTTAAAACGAACAGTTGATTTACCCACGTCAAGAAGATTAATGAAGGGTGATAATGATGAGTAAAAACGTGGGTAATTTTAACAAAACAAGATAATTTATTTCTTCACGAATTTAGACGCTTGAAGTAACGTCGGTAGCTCGTTTCAGGAAAATAAATCATAATTCTTAAAGTCTTAACTTTAAATAAATCACAGTCTTTAGTTTTAACGTATCGTCATGAAAAGGAAATTTTCATACAACAGATTAATTTATATAACACAAAATAATATTCGAAAATGTTTATGACAAGGTAAGAGGATTCGTTGCTCATCGAAGGGATATATGGTTTACATGCGTTCAAAAGTAGAGATAGTTTGAAATACTTTCTTGGATTGTTAAGAGAAGTGCAGTGTGCTGGTTAGAAGCGATAATATAAATGGTGAGTAATATTGCACTGGCGTGTATTTCGGCGCTGGTGACGAGGATCTGAAACGAAACCCTTCGTATAACTTCAGTTACTCTTCTCTGATTAATTTCATTTTTTCTCCTCATTCTATACCAAAAAGAATTTCACGTAGATTCGGTACTTTCTTTTATGCTTCTTCTCGTCTGACCGGCTAATTTCTGTGAAGGCAAGGTTTTCATTGGTCCAAGAAAATTTCAAGTAGAATCGCGAATTCATTTCCTTCTTCTTCTCAACTCATCGGTCAATTTCTGTGAAGGCAAGGTTTACATTGGTCCAAAGAAAATTTCACATAGGTTTTCGAATATCATTCCCTCTTCTTCCTCGGTACTTCGAATTTGAAGGGAGTGAGTGAAAGGACTTATTATTATTTTGCACTCACTACTTAAAAAAAAAAATGTATCCACAGAATAACTAACGCTCAGCGTAGGGGTCACTCAAAAAACTCCGATACCTAAGGTCTAAAATTAATTTTTAAAAATTAAAAATCTTTCTTGAACCTTTTATTTTAGTTTTAATTTCAAGCTAATAGACTAAATTTAACATTTCGAATAAGCAAAATACTTTGGTGTATTTCAAAATGAATTTAAATTAACTGCAAATTTTTTTTTTATTCAATGTTTTTGGTGGGGGCCTAAAATAGGAGATTAGGAACCTTTTTTAAACAGCTTTCATCACAATAAAATTCTCTTTATCAAGAAATCATTCAAAAATAAAATATACTTTTCTGAAACTTTATTTGAGGAATATTAGTTGATTTAAAGTATAATTAATCAAATGTTTTACTAAATTTTAGAAACGTCTAACTTAAATTTATTCTAATTATCGCTCATATTTTCTGATAATGTCGTGTATGGTCGTCCATACTTGCAAAAATCGTCACGTTCACACAAAATGATTCAAAATTCTTTTAAAAATATTGGTGTTTGGGGATTTGTAATAAGTTTTTCCATTTATAATTATTAAATAGTTTTCACTTAATAATAATATATAAAAAGCTGAAATGAATACAGAATTTTAAAAGATTTAATATTTAATATTTTTTTCTAATTAAATTTAAAAAAAAAATGGAGACAATTCTTGTAAAAAATCCTTTGGTCTATCCTCTTAATAATATAAAGATTTTAACGATAAAAATGTTTTTATTACATTTCGTGTATTTTTTCATTATGTATGCCCATTTTTAGAGAATCTTTGTAGATACAGTGTAACCCGGATATAAGAGAAACCCGGATATAAGAGAAACCCGGATATAAGAGAGATTTTCTCTGGTCCCAAATTAGAGCCATACTTACCTAAACAAATTAGACCAAACCCTGATATAAGAGAAACCCGGATATAAGAGACTTCTTCTCCCGTCCCGACAACTCTCTTATATGCGGGTTACACTGTACCTACTGTAGAACTCTATCCAATAACTTCTTATATTCATTAAAAAATGATCTTTTACTTAAAATATTATTTCTCTTACATTTTTCTTTTTGTGATTCTCATGTGTGTCCTACTCATTCGATTTTTGTATTCCTATTCTTTATATTTTTACGCTCTTGGACACCCATTCGCACACCCAAGCACATGACCTTCGCGCATAATTCTTTAGCTAACGTTTTCCGACAGCTTCACTGAGACAGAGGAAAAAACGAATCTAAAAATACTCGAAGAACATGTTTGCCAATCCAACCGACGCCGCAAAAACATGGTACTAAATATTCGCTACACCATTTTGAATTGCTACTGAATTTCGGGATGGAGACCATTTCCCAGAGCGAGGAGTTAGAGAGTAAATAGCTGTGTCCGGTAATAATTTATGTTACAAATGTCTTTAACTGTAATGAAACCTAACCAAGAGTCTTAGAATGATTATAGCTCTCCATGACTTCCTGCCCTTTGTAGCACTAAGCAACTTTCGACTCTGCTATCCATTCACACAAAATCTTTAGATAAACAACATGTTGTTTACATCTATCATTCCGCGTCTCAATAACTCCCGTGAGTATTTATTTTCTAAGCCGCCATTCCTCACAATGTGTACCAGAAATGTGAAATGTTTTGCATTTTATTTTAAATATGTCTAATTTAGATCACATTTCTATCTATCTATCTATCTATCTATCTATCTATCTATAATACCTTCTCTCTATTTTTGTTTCTCGCACACTATATCACTTTTTCTCTTTCTCTCTCTCTCTCTTTCTCTCTTTTTCTCTAGCTTCATGGTTTCTCTCAGATCTGGTATACATAAAAAATATCACGCACACCCACACCCACACCCACACACCCACATATATATATATATATATATATATATATATATATATATATATATATATATATATATATTTGTGTAATTAAACCTTTTGAAGATGGTCCCAATTGAGACTGAATGTACTTGGGAAAATAAAATAAAATTTGGAAAAAAAAATTAGCTATTTTTCTTAATCAATTTTCTACAGCTATTAAGAAACTGATTCATGGACTCGAAAGAATTAAAACAAAAATAAACAGACTTAATATGTCTAAATTATTACACCAAACCAGTATGAATAATATATATATATATATATATATATATATATATATATATATATATATATATATAAATAGATAGATAGATAGATAGATAGATAGATAGATATACAGCGAAACAGTCCGTCTGTGGATGACTATATATATATATATATATATATATATATATATATATATATATATATATATATAAGAGTAATAGCTGGCCACTCGTATTCGAGGATACCCATTTACTATGGCGGCTAGCCAATCCCAATTGCAGACGCTCGCTCAGGTACATTTGGGTTTTCTCAACACCCACAGATCCCACCTGTGGTTTAAACTGCAACTATGCTGAGCAGACCTTAGTTACAGTAATCTGAGAGAGAGCATGATCAACAATTTGAACCAGGCCAGCTCGCTTAAGCCCTCGGTAACGACACCTTGTGACTTTTTGCTAGTACAGCTATGGACAGCCCTGAAGAGTTTCGTCTACCCAATTTCACTCACAAGGCTTGAGTCAACCCGTGGTATGGTTTTCAAGCACTTTCCAAGTGTGCCACACGCTGGGATCGAATATGCATACATACATACATATATATGTTTATATACATATGTATAGAAATAACTCAAAAACGAAGAATTAGCGTACACAGACACACACACACACACACACACACACACACACACACATATATATATATATATATATATATATTAATGCATGTTTCATAAACCAATAGCTTCTGTTATAAATTATGCCTATAATTTATAACAGGAGCCATTGGTTTATACCAACGGCTTCTCATACTTTATACATCTCGTTTTCACTCTCGCGTGGTCATGTGTGACGTCACGAGCTGCGAGGCGATTTTCGCTTCCGCGTCTCGTATACACGGTTTTGTCGTTGCTTTGAAATTTTTCATGCAGCAAGGGCGGACTATCATTTTTGATCCGTCCGTGTGTTGTTTGATATATTGAAATTGTCGACTTTGATAATGGCTTATGTAAGCCGGAAGCTTAGATTGGATTTAAACATGTATCAATATGGGGTTTTCCTTTCGTCTTTCAATGATAATGTGATTAAGCTTATCAGACAATATGAAAGGAAATGTAACCGATTTGGCCACAGAGGAGCGTTCGGTTAGCAAGGTCGAATTTACTGTATTTGAACTTCAATCTTCTATGAATCTCTCACGTACATTCATATCTGCTGATGGCGTATCAGATGTAAACAATTGACGTCACGCATTATGAAATGGACAAAGTCCGACTATTATTTTAAGACATTTTTATGTTTGTACATTCTTTTTATAGATACAAATATTTAAGTAGATGCTCTGTTTATAATAAAATAAAGGCACGTCAAGCTAAATGACGGTTCCGTATAGGATACAGGTTCGAATCCTGTCGGAGGACGAATATTTTCTATGAAAATTTCTCGGACATTCAGGCCGGTAAATGTTATTAATACTGTTTATTATAAAACAGAGCATTTACTTAAATATTTGTATCTATAAAAAGAATGTATAAACATAAAAATGTCTTAAAATATATACATAATTATGTAAGCAAATATATGGATATAGATCCGACAGTATGAAGAAAAATATACAGAAAAAAAACAAACAAAAATCTTAATATGCAATTATGTTGTATTAATGTTAATATAAAGTCGACGTCGGACGTTTCGGTCTATTTAAGACCATGTTCATGGACATTTTCATTTAAACATAATTAACATTAGAACATATAAAAATTCAACACGAAAAGACGATGGACATAAGAGCACAACTAATCCAAACAGATAACTGAATTTTTTATATAAGATCAGCGTTCCGTTTAAATATGATCACGTCGTCACGTGTTAATGATGTTTAAATGAATAGGTCCTGAAGATGGTCTTAAATAGACCGAAACGTCCGACGTTGACTTTATATTAACATTAATACAGCATAATTGCATATTAAGATTTTTGTTTGTTTTTTCTGTATATTTTTCTTCATACATAATTATATATAAGAATAAAAGCTGGAAAACGAAAAACAAGTTTTTGAAAAACTGTATATTGACTTGTTTCGTTCCGAGAAAGATCCTCCAGCCAAATAACTGTTTATTCCAGCAGTTAATTTGATATTTAAAAGAGGAAGAAGTTTTGGTGGGTAGAAAATGGAAGAAACGCTTGTCACAGTTTACATCGCTACTTGAACATACATTGATAAACAGCATTTAAATTCGATTTTTTTTTTACATTTAATGTGCCGTCTTTCATTCAAAGTAGAATAATGCTATGGCTTTGCAGGTTCCTTTTGCACCGGGGATTGTAAGGTTACACCATCCTTACTCTCAAAGATGGATTTGTTTTTGAAGTTAACTTCTTCTAGCCTTTGGCTCAAGAGGCAGAATATGCCAGGCAGCAGGTGGTTTGAATTTAGAGTTTCATTCTCCTAGACTAGTTGCCACCCAAGGCTATAGAACATAGAATTTCTGGTAAACTAAATGTAGGATAATTTATTTTTTAAATGCAGATGTTTTTATAGTATAGTTGATATTTTACTCATAGTTGTGGTGGGGGGAGATTAAGGCACAGTGGAGTAATGGTTAACGTCTCGGACTGAGAGAGCAGAGTTCGAATTCCAGTCGAGTATATTGCATTCACTTACTTTCCATCTCTTCTTTCACCTGATGTGCGTAAATATCAGGTTATCCCATAAGTTCTGTCCGAATTTTAACATTTTGTTAAAATGAACGAAATTTAAAGAGTATTTTATAATGTCTAATGGCGCTGAACATTATTTTTATGTTTAGATGCATTTAAACTGATCAAATTTTATTTCAGAGAACAATAAAATTAAATTTTGTTTGATTAAAACCCTGCAAACATGGAAGTACCCAAGAATCATTTGAAGCCCATAATGCTTTATGAGTTCAAGAAAGGAAACTCAGCAGCTGAAGTGGCTAGAAACATTCACTCAGTTTATGGAGAGGAATGTGTGAATGAAAGAACTTGCAGAAGATGGTTTGCAAAAATCAGAGGTGGAGATTTCACACTTGAAGATGAAGATCGAACCGGACGTCCAATTGAGTTTGATGAAAAGCTTCTTGAAGCAGCCCTTGAAGAAAATCCTGCTTTATCAGTTGAGGAATTGGCAGTGGTTCTCAGTTCAAACCATACAACTGTTCATCGCCATCTTCAACAACTTGGAAAAGTTCCTAAACTTGGAAAATGGGTGCCTCATGAATTGTCTGAAAACAACCTCAAATGCCGAGTTGACATCTGCTCTTCTCGCCATTCTCACCAACTTGTTTCACCTTTTCGGATAGACTTGTGACTGACGACGAAAAATGGATCTTTTATCGAAATGTTAAGCGTCGTAGACAGTGGCTTGGTAAAGGGGAAGGATCTCGGTCACAGCCGAGAAGGGAACTTCATGGTCAAAAGGTTCTTTCAATCGGATCGCCACTTTGAATTCTTACCACCTAATGCAACAATTAATGCTCAAATATACTGTCAACAATTAGAGCGTTTGAACCAAGCTTTGAGGAAAAAAAGATCTGCTCTAGTGAATCGAAAAGAGGTGATGTTTCATCAGGACAATTCGCGACCCCACACAGCAAGAATCACGTCACAAAAGATCGAAGAACTTTGTTGGGAGAAAATTCCTCATGAACCTTGTTCTCCCGATCTTGCTCCTTCAGACTACCATTTGTTTCGTAGCTTACAGAATCATTTGGAAGAAACAGTTTTTGTAACACAGGAAGAGGTTAAAACTGACATCTGTGAGTTCTTCGAATCAAAGCCAAAAGAATTTTACAGTAATGGAATTAGTAAGCTTGTTAATAGATGGAAGGAAGTCATAGATAATCAGGGAAAATACATTGTTGATTGTATCTGTAATTAAGTGTAACATTTGGTCACTTGTTTTCTTTATTCAAAATTCGGACAGAACTTATGGGATGACCTGATAGCGGGATAGTCTTGGTTATGGGTAAACTCAAAATGCCCGGTGCAAAAGGGACTGGCAAGCCATCGAACTATTTTGCGTTGAATGTATAAGAAAGGACCACAATTGTGAGAAGGAGTCGTTGGGTGGCCACAGCGGCGCAAAATACGCGACCCGAATGAATGATGATTTATTTATTTTAGTTTTTACTTATCCCACACTGTATCAATAATCAGTACGCGGTGAACAGAGATATGTTACGTGACCATGTATGTACATTTATTGTAGGATATTCCGACATCACTCGAGCAAGAAATTAGATATTTGAGATAAGATGTCCGAAATAGCAATACAAAGGCAGACGGATGTGTACCTATGTTTTATTGTAGGATATTTCTAGATTACGAGGAAAGACATATTTCTGATAAGAAAGATATCCCAAACATCAATACAAATGCCGAAGTTTGTGTATATGCGTTTTATTCTAAAATATTCCGACATTACTAGAAGAAGGAAAAGAGCTATTTGTGATAAGTAACATATTCGAAAGAGGAATACAAAGGCAGACGGATGAGAAAATAACAATACAAAGGCAGACGGATGTGTACCTATGTTTTACTGTAGTATATTCCGACATTATTGGAACAAGGAAAAAGATATTTGTGATAAGTAAGATATCCGAAATTTTAATACACATGCCGAAGGATCTGTATCTGCGTTTTATTGTAGAATATTCCGACATTATTGGAACAAGGAAAAT